TGAAGGATGAGGAACAGTTATAGACAAAGGTGGAGACATTGGATAAAGAGTCAATGCTTGGATTTGGCTATTTCCTAGCAATCTTGAAAAATATAAAAATAAAAAACGACAAATAAAAAGTTTTCGTCTTATATTCTTTCTTCATATTGAAATGTAATCGACATGTGTCTTTGTGCAACGGTAATTTTGTTTGTTAAAGAAAGTTTAGTTGACATATTATTTTCAGAGTGGGCCTAATAGACTCCTGAAAAATAGAGTTTACGTCTCATAACTAAAGAGTCTATTTGTGGACTGATTATATGATATTTATCACAAAAGAACAAAATTAATGGTTATAATCCATCTATAACAAAATGGAACCTTTGCTTAGGGGTGGTATTAACAATTGAGATACAAAACTTGGGAATATGGAGTACAATTTAACAATGCAAAGAGTAGAAGATCACCGAACAAGAGGTAGCTCAAAGTGATGTTTGTTAAGGTGTTGGTTAGAAGATACGGAACCAAGTGGAGAGGTATCTATCTCCAGCAAAAACGACTTGTTTGACAAGGATCTAGACGAGTTTGGATGGGTTTAATAAAACTTTTTTTAGAATTGTTATGAATTTCAGATGAGATCACTCGAATAAATTAAAGTGTAAAACAAGAGAAAACGATTAAGACAAAAAAAAAAAAGTTTGTGTTGAAATTTATTTTTTATTAACCATGGGAATGAATTAGGAATCATATTAATCTGTTTTGGGTGAGTAAGTGGTGCAAACAACATTCAATCATTGATGCATAAATTAATCACCGAGATAATTCTACATAATTTTGTATCTTCTTAATCTTTTGTACATCTAAATTCTTTTGGATTACACGTCGCAAAATGAAGAAATGGAGTAGTATTTTACTATTTAGTCGAGCATCAATTATGGTTTTTTAACGCAAATTTTACGAGCTTTAACGCATTATTTACCCATTACCACTGAAATTGACTGTATATACCATATTTAATTCAAAATACATTTATAGATGAAGTATTGTTATCTCAATTGGTACATTTATGATTCCTAAAATGACAAGAGCGAAGGATCTTCGAAAACCATAATTAGTTTAGAGGAAGCACGTACGTACGATTATTCATGTAGGGTTCGGTCCACCTGTTGTAGGAAGACAAAAATTGGGGTGCTGGTTTGCATGCGCTAATTCTTACGTCTCCATGTGTCTTGCTTTCAAGTTGTAGTATCGATCTGCGAGCCATGATGTTGGAAGTCAAGCAAACAAGAGATTCAAAAGATCAAATATTTTTTTCTGCAAATATTTGGAAGGAGAAGTCTAATTTGTTATCCGGATCGTATGATAATTTTATGATAATTTTCGAATCTAATACCTCAACAAAATTTTATATGTTTGGTGATTAATTTTGTTATTAGTGGAAAATGACCTTAGTTTTATTAAAGAGTTCATTTTTTTAATACATATTCCGAAGAATAAGTTTGATTTGTTATCCGGATCGATCGTTTGATAATTTTCGATTTACCACAACAAATTTATATGGTGGGTGCAATTAAGTTTAGTATCATGAATACTCAAAGTGGTAAAATAAAGTTAGTTTAGTTAAAGACTAAAAGAGTTAATTGTGTAGTACGGTAGTAGTCAATTTTTGGGAAAATTTGTCGAAAATGAATGGTAAAATCGTAATTAAGTAAGAGTTTTTCAAGAATAGTTTTAGTAAATTTTTTGGAAATAATTTTTCGAGAATACTGGCTAATTACAAATTGTGTCAAAATTTAGTCATTTAGTGGACTGATGTTAATTGGATTTGAAAGCAATAAGATATGGTTTTAGTGATAACAATCTGATTGGCACTTGACTTAAGTCCTAATCTTAATATCTGATTTAGTGATTGACAATTAAGACAAAGACAAACACCCCCATGTTCTACATTTAACCATACCGGCGATAACACGAAATCTATCGTTGATTATTTATTTTGAAAAATCCCAAATAACAATGGTCCGAATCTCAACTTACTCAATCGAAAGTAGTTTCTATGATGTTGAAATAAGAAAATACACAAATACCAGTGATTTTCTAATGATGTTGAAATAAGAAAATAGACAAATACCAGTGATTTTCTAATGATGTTGAAATAAGAAAATAGACAATACCAGTGATTTTTTTAGAAAATATTACTATAAATTAAGACAACTATTGATTGATGACAACAAAATTGGACATATTCTATTTCAGCTTCATACAATTTTCGACTAATGAACAGATCCATCTTTTGTCGTAATATGTCTATAATTATTTCATTAAATTTATATATTATCTTCACCCTAACAAACTCCAAAAAAAAGTATTAGAATACTAATTTACTCAATTAAGGCGACTGTTCGCAACTAGTAATCCAACGACTGATTTGTCCCTACGTAAACACGTTTGTATACTCCTATATTGTCCACACGTGAAAATTAAATTTGCTACTTATATACTACTATACAGTATACACACAAAATAATATGCATATACATCGAATTATCCTCTCCTTGAAATTATACAAACGGAAAAACACTGTATAAATTATTATAAAAATGCATTGGGCAGGACCAAAAAAGGTTCCCACCATAAATGAGAAAGAAAAGTTGTAGGCTTTACAGCTGTGGACTCCCTTTAATTAAATTCTCAGCATCTGTGAGACTTTAGGTTTATATATTTTTAGTATATGGTGATATTTTTTTTCACCTGTAATTCATGTGGCACTAGTACAGTTTATTTATTTTAGTTTTTGCTTAACCATTGTTTGAAACTTGATTTAAAGAGATGTTGTGGAATGATATGTTATATAATTGGTATTACTGTTCATCCACTAATACTTATTTTTCAATTATTGACATATCTGTTTGTTTAATAATATGCATATGGTTTTTTTATTCTTGTTGGTGTCTCAATACGAATGATTTGTTCTTAAAAAGCGAACTCCACTAATTATTGAAAAACAATTAATTGCAATTTGGTAATATACTGTATTAAAAAAATAATTAGCTAGGGACACTGTTTGTTCTCGGATGCTCCCACCTCTAGTTGTAAAATTTAATACGAATCCACTTTACGTTAGATACACAAAAAAATGAACAACATTTAAGATTAAACAATGCTGCATTAGTTAGATAACAACTGATTATTGTGGTTAATTATTTGTTAATAAGCCAAATCTATGACCCTTTTATCATCTGAGCATGCAGCAGACAAAAAGATTTTCGTACGTAAAACGACACCGTATTTATCTCTTTTTGTTTTTACTTGTTTTATTGTTATGACAAAACTTTGTATTGACCAATAAATTAATATACCCCCCTCTTCGTACCATGAAATGTCAATTTATGAATATACCGACGGATTTTATTTATGTTTGCACTCATAAAAATATTGCAAAACAAAATCCATATATAACTATTGAATTTTTTTTTTTAAAAAGGTATGAAGTTCATTTGCAAGTTTACGTATACATTAAAACAAAACTAGTTTATTTATATATATGAAATGAAAATTGCAAAACGAAACCCAAATCTAAAGGAAATCACTTGTTGACAAGAAAAAGAAGAAGGAAATATCACTTTAAACAACTTAATTAATTAAAAAGTTTATTCAAAACATAATTTACTATCATGGCGTAGATAAATTTATGGAAACAAACGACGTCAGATCATAAACAAACAAAAAATACAATCGTTTTTAACATTTAACTATAAACGTTAATATATTTTTCTTTTTAGAAATAATGTTATAATTCTATTATTTGTTTTTTTCTTTGCAATTAACACATCTACATGATCAAAATGTCGGCCATATTTCTGGGAGTTTATTTGTAGCACTAAAAATATGTTCGATTTGAAATAACACATGAAAATTAGATCTCTTTTTTATTTACTCCATAAATAGACGTAGATAACTTTTTAACTTACTCAAACACAATATTAACCATCATATATATAGCTAATAGTCTTTAAACACGTTAAATTTAAGTTTTGGCCTAAAACTTTTTTGATAACATTGGTTGTTGTTTTGTTTGGTCGACAAAATAAAAGAAATGAAGTTCATGAAAAACAAAACAAAAAGTTCCATCCTAAAATTTACTTGATTATATAATAAAAAAGAAATTCATGTTGAGAAAAAGAGAAGATAAAAATGGAACCTTGATTCATGTTGACGTTTTTCCTTACAAATTAATATACACACGAGAGCGTATGAAAACAGTTTTTGAATTAGTTTCAAAATTTTGGACATTTTTGTGTAATATGTACGCACGTGTATTATTTATCAAAAAAGTGACATTCGCGACGACAGAAAAATTGCAAAAGAAGTTCCGTGGACATGATACTTTGATAATGTGCTTGCCAAAGGAGAAAAAATATATATACCTTGATAATGTGCTTACATATTTTTTTTCGTTAAAGAATGTGCTTACATATTTTTACGTAAATCGCGCCGTACCGTTCATTTTATCTA